TATTGATCCCCTGTTTCAGTATCCTTACTTTCACATTATCTCAAAGTCCACTACCTTTCTGCCTCTTCTACTATACTACTAAGCTCCCATTCCTCTAAACACTGTACTAAGAGATCACTTTCAAGAAATATTCAAACCTCAGATTTACCAGCAATAAAGAAAGGCCTATCAATCCAATCAATGTGACCTGTTTCAAAACAAACAACACAAACTTCATCCTGGATCACTGGACCATTCAGTTTCTTTGAATATTTGTCTGGGCAGGGCTAATGGNATGCCATGTTCTGGGATGGATTTGATCAACATCAGACATAAGTATCGTATAGCGTTGGCGTAGTGATTCCGGCCGACCCAGTCCCACCCAAGGTAATGAAGCTTCCACCATTTTTCCTCCCTGATAGGTTCCTTGCCAAGACCAGGTAAGTGTTTAGGGATTTCCACAGGCTTGCACTCAGAAGGAAGAAAGTGCCCTTTATATTTCCCCATAGTGGTGCCAACCACCAGGGTTATCAACATCATTCCAGTCTTCAGGTTCTCCTTTGTCAACCTTTGGATCCTTCCTTTCATAACGTACTGGAACCTTGTGATAGTTAAGACTGCTATCAGCAATAGTTCCATTATTCCAATAAAAGAACTCAGTAGAATGAGGTTTGACATCATTCTCCCAGGTCCAAGCTGTCTGGCTCTGTGTGATTACATGAAAGAACTCTGCTTGTGTTCCATCCTCATGACTCATTCCAGAAACATCTGAATCATTCTTATTAGGCTTAGTGTCACCAGTATCCTCCTCATCACTTGAGCTTTCATCATCAAACAAAGTTTCTACATCTGATTTCAACTTGAAAGCTGCTTCAAAGGCTGCAGATTGGGACTCCACAAGGGCCCTTCTTAGCACACTTGCTGGTTGTTGCACTGTGCTCCTTGAGGAACGCCTATTGGTCATTATATTGGTGGTGAGTGGCACCAATAGTGGTGTTGCTGATATTGTTGCTGATAGTGTTGCTTAGGGTTGCTCAAAGTGTTGCTTAGTAGTGTCTCTAGTGATAACTTTGTTGTTGATTTGTTGTTCTTGGTAGCTGGCGTCATAGGACAGGACTTGTCAATTTGTCAATTTGCCATTGTCAGTTGTTGTTGTTGTTGTTGTTGTTGTTGTTGTTGTTGATGATGATGATGATGATGATGATGATGATGATGATGATGATGATGATGATGATGATGATGATGATGATGATGATGATGATGATGTCAATTTGTTGTCCTTGGTAGCTGGCGTCCATAGCTTGTTGCTGAGTATTGTTGCTGCTAATTAGTAGTGTTGTGGATGAACTGTTCCTGGAGATAATATACTGTTGCTTATTAGTAATGATGCTGACAGTGTCCCTGGAGGAGGGATGATTAGATGTCAGTTGTTGGAACAAGAAGAAGTGCTTCCACTGGGATAGTGGTAGCTGCAGCACATGGTTATTAGGACTCCTCTGTGTCCAACAATTGACAATAAGTTGCCTTGTTCCTACCATCATCATGAAGGAGCAATATTGGTGCAACGTTGTATCATATTCTAGGTCAATATATTCATTGAGAATGTATTTCCGACATCATGAACAAAATTCCTCCATAGAAAATATGGTGTAGGGATGATAGCCCAAAATTGACATCTGTCTATACAATAAAATCATTTGATTTTGATATTCATTAATAATTTTAATATGCTTTATTAATGCTATTAAAAAAATTAATTTTCATTATTAATTAATTGATTTACTAGTAATACATCATTCCTTTGAGACTGGCTCCTCTCCAGTCCCTGCTAATACTATACTATACTATACTATACTATACTATACTATACTATACTATACTATACTATACTATACTATACTATACTATACTATACTATACTATACT